TTCCACGAACCAGGTCTGGCTGGGGAGAGGGCAGGGCGGCCCGGGGGGCTGCGGGGAAGGTGCTGAGCTCTGCCTGGTGCAGAGGCAGGGGCAAGCTGCCCCGATTCGGCACCAGGAGGCTTGGAGACCTCCTTGCGGCCTGGCTGCTGGCAGGGGCCGCCTTGCCCTCCCCACAGCCCCTGCTGCCTGGCTCGGTGCTGCCCAGGCAGAGGAGCCGGCAGTAAGGATTGGGTTTGTCCCCAGTGCTAGAGCTGGGCCAGGTGTGACCTGCAGTACTGAGGTGGAGCTGCTCCCTGCCAGGCCCCACGTGAGATGGGATGTCAGCGTTGGCACCTGGGCCGAGCCCTAGGGGCCATTCCAGCAGCGGCTTCAGGCCCATCTCTGCCCAGTGGCCCTGGCAGCTCTGCGGCAGGGGGGCTGGCTCTGCTGCGGGAGGCTGCTTCCTTCCACCCGCTTGCCTGCGTGCCATCTCCTGGCTTCGTACCAGAGCGGCCCCCACTCCCCTGTCTCTGCCTGCCCTGGCGCAGACGCAGCTCGCTGCCGAGACACCGCTGCGTCAGGCACCGGGCAGCTCAGGAGGCAGCAGCCTGTGGCTCATTCTCCCCGGGGTCTGGGAAGTGCCAGGCTGGGTGCTCTCAGCATGGCCCCGCTCGCAGCCAGGCGGAAGGTCTCTGCTGTCGTCCACGGTGAAGCGAGGGGGCTGTGGCTGCTGCGGCCTGGGCCGGCAGCTCTGGGCCTGGCAGGGCTAAGTGCTCTGCCGGGCACGGGTGCAGGCAGGAGTGGCGGTGGCTGTCGCCTACCCTGGTTGCGCAGGTCTGAGCCGTGCCGATCCCTTCGTTTTGTTGTCTGTCACTTGAGGAGTCTTGTAAATAAAAGCTGGTTCCTCCTTTTGAGCCCAACTTGGTTTCTCCGTGGCTCCCAGGCCGCTCCCTCTCCCTGGCTTGCACTAGGTGCTCTGCGGGTGCGGGGAGGCGAGGAGCTGGGGAGTGGGCTGCATGGGGCTGGGGTAGCAGGGCCCCCGACTCCCTTCCCTGTGCGGTGCCAGGAGCAAGGGCAGCTTCATGCCCTTGTCATCACTGCGCTGTGCCTGACGCACTACCCCAGCCCCAAGGGCTCTGCCTGCCTCCCCCTACCCTGCCTGTGCCCAGCTCCCTCAGCCCTGCCTGTGCAGGCCCCAGCAGCGCTGCTCTGCTGCGCGGGGGAGGCCCTCGCTTCCCCGCTGTGCTCCGTACGTCCGCGCTGCGAGGCCAGGCCAGGGCTCCAGGGCTGTGGGTGGCCACTGCTGCAGGGGACAGAGCCCCTGCGTGGGGGCTGTGGGCATCCGCCTTGCCGGCCCCTTCCCCATGACAGTCTGCCCTTGTCTGGGTGCCCACTGGCTCTGGGCTGCAACCCTTGCTCCAGTCCCAGAGCCTATCCCAGCGCTGGCAGTCACCTTGGCTTCTCCCCTGCAGGGAGTTGCTCTGGGTTGAAAGCCCTCCGGTCGTACGGCTTCCTGGGATCGTGGCCCCGCAGCACTGACGTGCTCATGCTCATGGGATGGATGTGGCCTTTGCCCCGGGCTCCCCTCGCCCGCCCTAGCTTCTGGTTGTAGCTACCACTTTGCTCTGACCCGGCTTCCACAGAGCCTGGGAGGCTTAGGGCCCGGCCGGGGAGAGCATTCCCAGCTGGCAGGCTTGGGAGCAGTGTTGCTCATTAACCCCTCAGATGAGCTGGCTGCTGGATTGCCGGCCCTGAGGCTGCTCCTGGAGCATGTCTACACCTGTGTAGAAGGGCCCAGGCCCCTGGCCCAAGATGATGAACCCTTGGGGTGGCAGGGAGGGGAAGTGGCTGGCGCCTGGAGCAGGTGCTGGGAGCCCTGGGGCTGTGCTGAGGTAGCCTGTGGGGCTCAGGGCAGAGGCGTCCCTGATGTGGCCACTCAGCCTGGGGTTTAAATGCTGTGGTTATTAATACGCCCAGATCCTCTTCCCTCCCCTGCACTAATGCCAGTGGCCTAAACTTAGTGCGGGCGGGATTCCTGGCCTCGTGCCTTGCTTTGCACAGACCTTGAACCCGGTCCCCTCTCCTCAGAGGTCCCTTCGCTCAGCTGCCCTGCCCCAGGGCCCGTTCTGTCCCACGGTCCTTGACCTGCTGCGGTCTCAGCCCCAGCACAGGCGCCGGCTACCTCTGTGTGCTTCCTTGGCCTCCTCCTAACGTCCAGCAAGCCCTGGCCCTGCATGTTCCCACCTGTCCCCTCCGTCGAGACGGGCAGAAGGAGCTGGCACCACCCAGCAGCTCCCCTCTACCTGCTGCTTGGGGCCTCTGCTCCCCCGGGGTCCTCGGTGTAAGCCTCAGGCATGGGAGTGGGAGCAGGGTCCAGCCTTCTCCAGGTGCCTGGTGCCCAGCCAGGGCGGCGAGGCTCTGCCCGGCAGGGTCTGGTCCGGGTCTGTGAACGCAGGGGGGCAGGGCAGGGGGCTGTAGGTGTGCTTGCGTGTGCCAGCCTCTGTGGGTCTGTGCCCCTGCTCACGCGCAGCTCCCCGTGCTCAGCCGGGCTGACCTACGCCGGTGGCTCACGCTCGGGGCGGCCTGGGAGACCTGGCTGATGTGCTGCGCAGCCGGTACATGGAAAGCATTTTAAGTCGGGCCGCTCCCGCTCCCGCCGGGCTCGGCATTGCTGCGGCGCAGGGCGGGGGTGGGGAGGCGGAGGCGTGGAGGGA